TCATTTGGACCAGTTTGACTGGTCTACATGTACATGCTGTTCTGTTTCCCTGCTGGGTGTATTGGAGCTGGTTGTCTTGCGACAGTCATTTAGAGCTCAGTTACTTTGAACAGAGAGTGAAAGCAGCATCAGTATCAAGCATGAAGCTTAATCTGTTTCTGTGAGGAACCAAAAAAAGCTGTTCAGCCTTTTTATTTCTACTTTATGAGATTTTTTCATATGTAGTATGTTTGTTGTTTTCAGATCCTTTGAGTCAAATTGAAAACTTTTTCCAAATTGAAAGTCTTAGTTCTGATCTGGTTTGAAAGCAGGAGGTCAGCTGAGGGGTCAATCCTGACAGGAAAACAGAGGAGGCTGGAGGGATGGAAGCTGTCATGTTGACAGACTGAATGATGGAAACTCTGAACATGACACTCTGACTTCTCCTTGACTCCTTGGAATAATTATTCTATAATTAGTCACTGTGTCTTTAATTAAACTGCATCATGTTGTAATTAAAAGTAACAAAAGCTATTTTTCACTTTTACTGTTTGACTGTTTTAACCTGGATCCTGTTTGCTTCAGATCACATTTTTTATTCTCTATTCAGATTGAGGGGCTGCAGTTTGTCAGAGGTCAGCTGGGCCTTTCTGGTCTCAGCTCTGAAGTCCAACCCCTCCCATCTGACAGAACTGGTCCTGAGTCTAAACAACATCTCTGACTGTGTGATGAAGGAGCTGAGCAGCTTTCTGCAGAGTCCACTCTGTAGACTGAAGACTCTGAGGTCAGACACCATGTTTAAGTTAGTTCAGATCAAGATGATGAGTTGAAAGTTGTGCTGCTCTTGATGGTAAAGTGTGTTTTCTTCTGCAGTGGTTTAATTTATGAAATGCTGTTTTGTTGAATAAGAAGCAAACACTGTGAACATATCAGACATTACACATCATGGTTTGATGCTTCTAGAGGTCCAATGGAATCATGAGTTTTCTGTCCACCAAAAATTCCTGAAGGTGAACATCTGTTTGTGACCTCAATCTGAAGACAACTTGGGTCTGGCTTCTGGAAAATGATTTCCAAAGACAGCAGCTAATCTATCTCCCTCCCTTATTTTCAAATTAAAAACCTGTGCTAGAAACAGCTGGAACAGAGTCAGTAAAGATTCTAGTTTCAACAAATAAACTAGGATTCCTATTTGAACCTATTTAAACCTGTGAGCATTTAGACCTGTAGAGCAGCAGGTCAGGAGCCTAGACAGTGATCACTGGTGTCCCAGAGTCACTCCTCTAATGCCAGCCACCCCTGCAGTCAGATGACAGTCAAAGGGTTCCTATTCCTACTTGTAGATCTGTACTTGTATTTGTATGTCCACAAAAATGTTTAACACTAAATTCTTCTCTCATACACGAGTCTGAGTAATTGTCCTGGTTAGGACTGTTTCTGTGTGACTGAATATAAAAGCTGTGAGTTTAAATCATTCTGAATACAACTCTAATTTGTATGACTACGAAGTTTTAACTTCTGTGGAAACAAATTCAAGTTTGTGAGTACAAGTGGAAAAGTGCTTAAATTATGTCACAAATTTGACGAATGGAACCGTGATTGACCTGCATCCTGTTTGCTTCAGCTGACATATTTTATTCTTTATTCAGATTGGTGGACTGCAGTTTGTCAAAGATCAGCTGTGCTCCTCTGGTCTCAGCTCTGAAGTCCAACCCCTCCCATATGACAGACCTGGACCTGCGTTACAACAACCTGAAGCAGTCAGCTGTTCCGCAGCAGTTGGATGTGGAGCAGAATCCACACAATACACTGTAGACGCTGAGGTTAGTAGGGAGCTGGAGGTCCATGCAGCTCTCTGAACTGTGAACTGTGAACTTTACTGAACTAAACCCTGTTGGTACCAAAAGCAAAGATCCAGTTTCCTGTAAACCTGCAGCCGACTCAGTGTGTAGCTGTGAATCCTGAATGATTTCAGGCTTTTTCAGCAGAGTCAGCAGAAAGAGCCAGTGAGCCAATCAGAACAGCAGCTTGTTGTGTGCATGGTGCTGAAAGTCTCTGCAAGTGTGTGCATCTCCAGCTCCTACATGTGAACATAAGAGCTGACAGGAAGCTGCTCTGAACAGGACTGAAGTCCCTGCTGTTCTTCTACTGGATGCTGCTCACTACTCACAGCTGAGGAACAAACACTCCTTTATCTCCACTGTTTCTGCTACTCTCTGCAGATGGACGCCATGATGAAGAGGACGATGAGAGCTGAGAAGAAGATCTGGGTCCTGATGATCCACAGAGGATGAAGCAGCAGCAGCTTGTGTGCAGAGACTCTGCTGATGATAATGACAATGACGACCACGACTACATTGTTATTATTATGGGTTTTTCCTTCTCTGGGATAATGATCACTTCACATGAACAGTTGGAGCTGTATATGCTTCTGTGGAATCTTTTTCTTCACATTAGACCACCTTCAAATGTTCTCCATGTTTAGATAAGTGGATTTTCAGCAACATGCAATATGAACGTTTTCAAGTGTTAAATTATCTAACATCTCTGATTCAGATGGACACAATAAGTGATTAATCACCACAACTTAGATGAGGCTGAAAAGAGTCCTTTCAGATTTACTTTGTTCCATTTTAACTGTATTTGAACTGAAATAATTTTTGTCTACAGAGTTTTTTTCATACCTTATTGATATTAGCCGCAATAAAGCTACCACCTTTAGGTCAAAGGTGCACTACACAAAATTTGTGGACTACGATCAAGATTCTAGTATCTATTACAAGAAATTTTAAAAAAGTGAACAAATTCTATTAATAGGACTTTACATTGAAACTAACAATGGACTTTATAGAAGTTGTCTTTGTATTGTGTAAAGCCTCCTGCTACATGTCAACAGACAAAAGTGGAGTCACCACCAAAGCAGCAACAAAAACATAATACACATTTGATTTGGTTCACTTTATTTCTTACAAATACACATGCAAAAGGAGATGTGAGTTCAAATCTCACTCCTGACAGCCTGTGTGGCACAGGTGCTGTTCCATTTTAGGCCTCAGATGTACCTTACTGTTTCACTCATTGCTGCCTGCTCTCTTTTAACTTTTTTAAAAATCCATCACTAATTGTTGCTGCTGGGAGGGTGAGCTTGAGGTTTCGAGTTTTCCAGATCCAGAACAAAGACAGTTGAAATCCGAGTGGCAATGCAATCACTTGGGCATTTTTATCCAGCATATGCTTTTTAAACACAGTCAAAACTGCTGAGCCCTGACACACAGTACAGTGGGAAGCGACAGTAAGACCTGAACGGGTGTGGCTGGGAGGAATGCTCCCCCCCCCACCTTGAGCCCATGTGGTGTTTTATTGTTGGACTTCTGTGCTCGGCAAAGATTGTCCATAACCAACACCATGTTCAGGCATAAGGGTGTTCATATGAGCTTTTGGCACCAGGAAACCCTAAACTCAATGATCAACTTTTTCATTTAATCTGATCTGCGGCCGCACGTCTTGGACACTCGAGTGAAGAGGGGTGAGGAGCTTACCTGGTGGTGAGTTGGCTCCGGTGGTGGGGTCAGTTCAATGAGAGGTTTCTGTTCTACGCCGTCCAAAAATAATAATCAAATCAATTTCTAGTTAAATTCAGTTCAGATTAATTCCTTATACTCCTACCACACTGGCAGCGAGCCCTCATACACGGAAGATTTCATCACTGGCATGATGGAAAAGATGAGTGAAAGGCCTGGATCCAGCTCGCCATTTTGAATCCCACCTATGCACGTGCACACCTGCACACGACAGACCAGTCCTCAATCCAACCGAGCTTCAAACCAAGCAAAAAACTGACCTGGTGTGACTTAGATCTCATAAAATCTTGGTCAGTTCCGAACCAGGTAAGTTGTGTTTTTCAACTGCAAAATCAACTTTTTTACTCTTTTTCTGGTTATTAATTGCTTTTTTCCCCCCGATCTCTGTTCATTCCCACATTTCTCTGCTGCAGGTGTTGCATCTCAGTTACTATTTCCTTGAAGGAGCAGCGACATTAACTTTCTATAAACATACTGTTAATTGTAAACATTCAATCATTTGACTCTGGTGCAGAGGAGGGAGAGCAGGAACTGGAAAAGAGAGATCTGAATGGCCTTCACCACATGAAATGGGGGACTCATTGAGGTAGTACATGGTTGAGAATGACCCTCAGCAATCTCCCGATGGGCCTTATCCAAGATCAAATAAGAATAAAAAGGTGTTTTTCTAAAGCATTCTGTTTTTGTGTTCTATCCAATGGAAATAAAGTGGAGCGGGATTGGTTTCTGTACTCCAGAGGTACTAATAGAGTCTATTGTTTTGCACATAAGCTTTTTTTTTTACATACGTCTTGTGGCGGGGGATAATAATTGGCAGTGTCTTTAAAAAACAAATTTGTTTACAGGTCAAAGCCTCCGAGTACTTTGCAGTGTAACTGGACTGCACACCTGATATTTCAAAGCAAGGGCAGGCCCTCAGTATCGTACGGTGTGTTCTTCCAGATGAGAAGAAGAAGGTCACTATTCATTGAGTCTTTTGTGGGATTACCTGCTGTGAAGGACACAACAGGTAAAGGCCTCAGATACACTGACTGGAGTGCTGGATAATCTGGGGTTGTAGTTGGCTAATTGTACGGGGCAACGTTATGACAATGGCTCTAATATGAGAAGAATACACAATGGTTGGTCTTTGATACAACAGAGTCCAGAGGCTCTGTTCATCCCCTCCTGTAGCCACAGCCGGAATCTTTTGGTATGTTATGCAGCCTCATCCAACAGAGAGTGTCTAACCGTCTTTGGCACTCTTCAAAGATTGTACATTATATTTTCATATTCTGTGAAGAGGTGGGATGTTCTCACAGAATTTGTTGACATCACAATGGACCTCTGAGTGACATTAGGTGGGAAGCAAAGCTGGACTCTGTCAAAGCTGTACATTTCCAGTTGGGATGAATTTTAGATGCAGTAGAAAAGCTTGAAGAAGTGGCAGGAGACAGCAAAATGGTCTTCGAGGCAAAGTCACTGTCTGGCAGGATTGTAAACAGGGATTACCTTGTGTGCCTCTTGGTTTGGTATGATTTATTGCTTTGCAAGCAAGGCGCTACAAGCAGCAGATGTCACAATGGACATAACCATTAGATTGCTGGATTCTCTGATAGAGGTTTTGCTTCAGAGAGGAAGACTTTCAGAAGTCACTTAAAATTGCAGGCATTTTAGCCACTGAAATGGATGCTTCTCCAGTATTCAGACAGAGACATTTTAGGAGGCAAAAGAGGTTCCAAAATTAGTATACTAATGCTGGCCATCATTAACAGGAACCTGAGACATAGTTTAGGTGCATGGTTTATAATGTCATTGTTGACACCGTCGTCCTAGAGATCTGACAGAGTCTGACAGGTTTGGGAATCTTCATCTTGTGTCTGAGAGGTTTATATTCTGAAAGGTATCACATGTCCAAAGCTGAGTTGGAGAAATCATTTGCAAGATATGCCCTGAGTACCTCTGATGTTTCCAGGGATATAATTCAGGACATTTATCCAGCACGCCGTCTACTGAAGGTTTACAAGGCTCTTGAGAACTTAAACTATGTCATACAGTAGAATCTTGAATTGTATTCCCAAATTTGACGGTATTGAGAGTATTCCTGACCATGCCTCTGATTTTTGCCTCTGCAAACAGGTCCTTCAGTAAGTGTAGGCTTCTCCCATTATACCATCGTTTCACTTGACCCAGTTAGCAGTGATCTCATTTGAAAACAGTGTTTCGCCCTCTATTTAATTTGATGCCCTTCTTGATGAATAGGCAAGTGCAAGGCACGACATGTAACAATTTAATGCTAACATTGTTATACTAAGTAACTTTTGTCAGGGGTCATTATTTCATATTTCATGTAACTTGACTTACTTTTTGTTTTGATTGAGTACATAACTTGCTATTTTTTTGCAGTGGGAAATCTTTTGCTTCAAAATAAAAACAGTAAAAAAGTCTTCTGCTCATACTGAAAAAAATGACCACAGCTAGCAGACCGATTAACTTGTTGACAACCCTAACCCTAACCCTTCTCTGAGTAAAACTAGAAAAACTAGAAATACAAACAAACACATGTAGGAAATGATTAAACGCACATACAGTTATTATGACTTAAATATAAATCTATGCAGTTAACACTACAATATGCCTTTGATCTTTCTATGAAAAGAATAGCTGCATTTTACCCCATTTTCCATAATGTTATCAAGATGAACACATACAATGTTTTAAAACATTGTAACAATTGAATGTTCTCAGAAGCATAGATCTGTTAGCCCGATTCTTTAGTTGGAAACCTAAAAACAAACCAGAGTAGATCAAAAAAATAAAAATGACATTTATTAGGTCACAGGCACAATATATAAGATCTCGGTGTGATGCGCATTATCTCCTGGGCTTCTTCAAAGGAGAACTGGACATAACCAAGTCCTATTGGCTAGTTACCTCAGGCCATAAATAGGCCAGGTCCTAATTCATTCAGATGGTATTGGAATGTGGTAACAAATGGTGTGTGTATGTGTTGACCTGAAGGTGTGGATCTAATGCAACAGAGAAAGAACAAGAGAGAAAGGAAAAGAGGAAAGAGAGTCTGTGGACACAGCCAGAGACTTAAACACAAAAGTAAAGTTCTAAAAGGATTAAGCCAATCAGTAATTTACATAGATCAGGTTATAGCAAACAATGCTAAATCGAGTACGTATAGCCAAATTCTAACAGATCTCCCCCCAAAAAAAGAAGGATGGAAGGATGCAGATTCAAACCATGACTGTCTAATGATCAGAACTATGTGATTAATGATTAATTTCCGTTCTCATTCACATGAACATTCCTAATGGAAATAAAACACCAACACTCACTTGTCTGCATACCCCTCAGAAAGTAGGTAGTTGCACCCCTGGCTGATGGTCATATGAAAACACATTGGATCTCTTTGACTGTATCAATAACTCATCCTTTCAGTTGTTGAAAGTGAGCAAAACAGCCCGGTTTCTGTCTAGTTTCAAACAAGGGACATTGTGTGTGTTAAAGGAATGTGATGACAACTACACCACAGCAACTGTTTCTATCAAAATATCACTAGATTTCAGATTTCCATTGTGCTCTTTTCCAGGGTCTGAATATTGAGGCTCAATGGTCTACGGGTCTGATTCTCGTGTCTGCCGAAGATTTGATACCAGTGCTATTTTGGTCTGAATAAGATGGCATTTATTACGAAAGTTTGGATCGCTTTGTGTCAAAGACCAACTTTAATGGATACTAGTTGGGCAAAAAGGTGGAGAAGCATTATCCAACATGGCGGACCGAGATAGAGGTGTCACAGCGTTGTACCTGGCTAGGGGTCTCATCTTAGGGCGGTCTTGTCATTTCCTGTTTTATTTTGAAGAATAACACTCATCTGGTTTCAGGTCACTTGCACTTCCTGTTGTGTCAACGGTCCAATTGTCTTCCTGACCTATTGTGTGCACCTGGGGTTCCCTACCCTCGTGTTAAATAGTCTGCCTTTTCCCTTGTCTGGTGCCAGTGTGTTCCGTCTCTCGACTAACTGTGCAGTCCTCTTGTCTTCGAAACCATAGTCCTTGTCTTTGATCCCTAGTTTCTTCTCACGAGTGCCTTTTTGAGTTCTTGTCTCCTAGCGATTGTGCATCCTAGTGAGTAATATTTTGTTACTTTGAACCTCGTCCTTTTGTGCTCGTTAGCGAGTGATTTTTATTTAACACTTTGTCCCCATCCTTGTGGAGCGTATTTTTGCTGTACTTTGTTTCCACTCTCCGAGAGTGCGCTTTGTGTTTGAATAAATTCTGTTTTTTTGCTCACGACCCACGCATCTGAGTCCAGTTCCAAAAGTGGTCACAAAAGGTCTTTGAAATACACAGAGAAAGGTTTGGAGGAACAGCTTTTCAGGAATATAAATGTAAGATCTAAGTTATCATAACTGACGTCCTGTTTTGTGCATATCTTGCCGAAAGCTGCTTATTTCTGGATTTATACTGAAAAGTGTGAGATCTTTTGACTAAGATTTTATCCTAATGTGTTGTGTTTCCATGCTTACCTGACCAAAATGGTCACCATCTGGGTGTGACAGATTATAGGGAAATACACTCCTAATTTAAGGAAGCAAAATCTAACCTCTTTAGGAGAGTTTTTACCCAAATGATTGAATGTGTGTTTTTACTTTTTCAAACATGACAACATGTTGTCAAAACATGTTTGATACATAGCGACCGGCTAAATCCCATGCCTTCCCTTGATGAGATTTTATTTCTTTTCCTCAGAAAGAATTGCTCTGGGATTGGTCCTCAATAATTGTCTTTAAGTTAAGACTCCTACTACATGGATTTCAGGAAAAGTTACAAAGTATCTGAAATGGTTCTCAGAAGCTTGCGGAACACAGGCCCAGAATTCCGTGGTCACCATGGCTCCTCCTTAGGGGCAGCATGACAGCATCTTTTGAAAAAAACACTAACACAAGCGGACTATTTAGCTTTTTCCTACAGCTGATTTAAGGATATGTGACATTGCTGGCAAGAGATAAAAAACTCCCAGACTCTGACCGAAGTGGAACAACAAACTTACAAAATGGAAAATATCAGGTGTGAGGGATTTAAATAGCTTTAGTCCTTATTATGTGTTTAACTAGCCTTCTGAATGTCAAAGTTCTGTCATGATCAGACCAGAAAGGAGAGATTTTCTCCGTTTCATACTTTTAAACATTGGATTAAGTAAAGAAAATATCCGTCTTCAAGCATTGCCCCCGCCTGCTGGAGCTTCTGTGGAAGATCTTCAGAGCCATCTGGAAAAGAGGGAAGTTGCCCCAGATGTGGGAGCATGCAGAGGGAGTATGGATTCCCAAATTGGAGAACGCGAAGAAAATCGAGCAGTTCAAATCAATCTCCCTCCTCAGCGTGAAGTACAAGGCCTTCTTCAAGGCAAGATTTCTGCTGAAGAACACCTACAATGATACATCTGTGCAAAAGGGGGGTATGCCAGGAGTCCTGGGGTGTATCGAGCACACTGGTGTAGTGACTCAGCTGATCCGCGAGGCGAGAGAGAGCAGCGGCGATTTGGCAGTTCTTTGGCTGGACCTTGCCAATGCTTATGGATCGATTCCGCACAAGTTGGTGGAGTTATCCCTGAGTAGATATCATGTCCCAGAGAAGGTGTGACATCTCATCCTGGACTATTATGGAGATTTTAGTCTCAGGGTGTCCTCTGGGGCATCTACCTCGGATTAGTACCGTCTGGAAAAAGGAATAATCACTGGCTGCAAGATCTCTGTCTCCCTGTTTGCCCTCACCATGAACATGTTGGTGAAGTCAGCAGAAGTAAAGTGCCGAGGCCCATTATCCAATTCTGGTACCTGACAGCCACTAATCCGAGCATTTATGGATGATCTCACGGTAACTACTACATCAGTGCCTGGGAGTAGATGGTTGCTGCAAGGCCTGGATAGACTCATCTCTTTGGCAAGAATGAGTTTCAAGCCTGGAAAGTCCAGGTCCCTGGTCTTGCGGAAAGGGAAGGTGATAGACCGCTTCTGCTTCAGTCTGGGAAATACCACTATTCCATCTGTGTCTGAAAAACCAGTGCAGAGCCTTGGAAAGCTCTTCACTTGTGATCTGTAGGACACCGCTGCACTGCAAGCAACCAGCACCAACCTTAACCAGTGGCTCCTAGCTGTTGACAAGTCTGGACTTCCTGGGAAGTTCAAGGCTTAGATCTATCAGCACAACATCCTGCCCCGTCTCCTCTGGCCTCTGCTGATGTATGAGATCCCAGTTATGACCATGGAGGGCTTTGAGAGGAAGATCAGTCAGTACCTGCGCAGGTGGCTGGGCCTGCCTCGCAGTCTGAGCAGTATTGCCCTGTTTGGACATGAGACCAAGCTCCAGCTCCCGTTTAGCAGCGTGACAGAGGAGTTCAAGGTCGCACGGGCCAGAGAATTCCTTCTCTACAGAGACTCCACTGATAGGAAGGTATCTTCAGCAGGGATAGCGGTCTGCACTGGAAGGAAGTGGCGTGCCAAGGAAGCAGTGGAGAGAGCCGAGGCATGGCTGCTGCACAGCACCCTGGGGGGCACAGTGGACACAGGGCAGGCAGGGCTGGGCAGCAACCCGAAGTCCTGCTACAGCAGAGTGACAGGGAAGGAAAGGCGTAAGCTCATCCAAGAGGAGGTTCGGGCAGAGGTGGAAGAGGCTCGCTTCAGCAGGGTGGTGGGTATTAGCAAGCAGGAGGCCTGGACCAAGTGGGAGCATGTTTCCAACCGTAAGATCACCTGGACTGATGTATGGAGGGAGCAGCCACATCATTTCAGGTTCCTCGTCCAAGCGGTGTATGATGTCCTCCCAAGCCCCACTAACCTGTTCACCTGGGGCCTGATAGACTCACCTGTGTGTCAGCTCTGCCAGAGGAAAGGGTCACTTGAACACATCGTAAGCTGCTGCCCAAAGGGCCCTGGGAGTTGGCAGATAGCGCTGGCGCCATGACCAGGTCCTGCGGGCAATAGCAGATACCATCTGCACTGGCATAAACACCAGCAAGAGTCTGCAGAGGTGAATAGCCACCAAGAACATCTTGGAAGCAGCTGAAAAGGCTTCACGGTGGCTCTGGTTGAGGAGGGGGAGGCTTGGCGTAGTGCGCTACCTGGACACAAGTCA